GATCCAAGCAATTGTGTAGTCATATTTTTGGCTGGGTCCATGAGCGGAATTCTTTCCACAGAGGACAGACACTAAATCCTGACCGGTGCATGTCGCGGGCTATATTTTGTTGCAGCGATGTCGTTTAGGAATACGATACAAAAAATTCCTGAATACGAAAATTTTGCATGTATGAATGAGTGTGATAGTAACAATCCAGCGATCAATTTGCTCGGCACAACTGTCGTTGTCCCCGTCGGCGGCGATGGTGGCGGCAGCCGCAGCCCGTGAAAGAACTAGCAACAGCAGCCGCCAACGTAGTGGTTAAGTGAATATGTGCACGGAAGAATGAACCAAGGGAAAGACACATTCCCAGCAGCCTTAGCTGTTAATCTCGCTGGGTACAAGCGCTAAGGAAATGGGACTTTTTTGTAGCCCCTTTGCAAGGAAAATATTACACTTGACACAGTAGAACTACATGGTGTTATGTTGATCGCTAGTAGTAATGATGGGCTCTGTCCCATATGTCGTGAGCAATCGATAATTCGCTTATGCTCGTGAGCATGAGGGAATTTCGAAATTACATGCTCTTCTAGAAGGTAATGCCCTCAAAAAGAGTGAGCGAACTGCAGACAGTTGGAAATGAGCAGTAAATCTACATCCTCCACGCCTTACTGATAAGACTTACTGCTCAATTTCAAGGTATCTTACTTTAAAAAGGGGACTGGCTTTTATAAGACCATGTAGTGTTGAAATTTCCTTTATGTTTTCGGCATGAGCGAGTTATCGATTGCTTATGATTTATTATGAAGTTAATTTTTACTTCTCGAAGGTTGTAACCATTCAGTGATGCTTGCTAAATATATTCTATTATTGGAAAGAGTAATTGCGATCGAAAAGCTCAAAAAATTAGCGGTCTTCTGTGCCGTATTCCTCCTTTTCTCCCAGATACGATAACATTTCCTAGTAAGGATCACTGGGTGGCTATGCAAGTGGTCTTTTCCGGAGAAGCTACTGTAATTATTTTCTAGTTTTTATACACATGTATGAATCTTTTATTGTACGTAATAATTTTTATTTTTTATAAATAGGAATAAAATTTACATAAATATGAGCAATGAGCAAGTCTTTTGCAGATATGCGTCTACCGATATGGACAAAGTGTTGCTCAAATATACGGAATACAACGAACCGCATGAGAGTCGTACAAATTCGGATATAATGGAGGTGAGCGGTGACGTCAGTCCCACAATTCTTTCTGCTTTTTTCATTCTGGCGTTGATGCCACACCCAATGCAGGGCCACCTTCCCGTGCTAAGCGCTAGTTTTTTTCCTATCTAAATTATTACTACTGCCTTCATTTCAGTTGGGTCCACCCTTATCACCTTTTCCTCAACCTCTTTTTGGGCTCTCAAACCACGCGTTTCGAACTCGAGTGCTTTGTATGATGGGAAGGTCACCAGATGTCCCAAAAGGGTATCTGGTCGTACAGAGGCCTTCCTGCCATGCGTTAATTCATCGGCATGCTCTCGTGCTTTCATTCAAGCAGTTCGTAAGACTTTCCTGACGTTCTCGTTCCTGGTCCCGTACTGGGATCTGCGGTAAGGTAATCTCAATATCTTATCAGCTTGAGCGGGATAGCGCTGTCTTCTAGTTCCTGTCTACGAGTCAGCTCATTGCCATAAGGTATCGCATACGCCACCTTCTCGGTAAACCTCGCTCTCTAGCGTCCCAAGGCCGAAGGCCCTTTCTTAGAGAATTTCTGGTTGCGAGAATGAAGGATGTTCGAAGGGGTTTACCTTAATGAGAAAATTCCATTTCTGATATTATTGAG